GCACCTCACAGGCAGTTCGGCACCTGGTCAGCCCGACACCTCACAGACAGCTCGGCACTATAGTCAGCTCGCCACTTAACCTGCCTAGCTTGACCCAACTCGGCAACCAAAGTTCTCCACTTCGGCCTGAGTCATCAGCCACAATGACGAGATACTTAGCACAAAAATTGGCCATCACCCAAAAATTGATTCATCAGGTGTGAAAAGGATGGTGCAAGAATTTGTGGCCCGATGCACTATATGCCAGCACTGGCAGGGTTGTTGCAACCTCTACCCATTCCGATGGGGTATGGGAAGAAGTTACTATGGACTTTATAACTCGGCTGCCCATGTCCCATGGAAAATCAGTGGTGTTGGTGGTGGTGGACCGACTAAGTAAATATGCTCACTTCATCAGTCTTTCCCAACCATATTCAGCAACTACAGTGGCCCAAGCCTACATCCGGGAGGTAGCCAAACTGCACGGGACACCACAGTCCATATTAACAGATCGGGACCCCCTCTTCATGAGTGCCTTTAGGAAGGCATATTGCACAACTCAAGGAGTTCAGATGTTGCATTCTACCAGCTACCATCTGCAGACAGATGGACAATCCGAAGTCGTCAACTGTTGCTTGGAGACATACCTGAGGTGTTTTGTGGGTGATAGGCCCAGACAATGGGCCCAGTGGCTGCCTTGGGCTGAATATTGGTATAATACCACGTTCCAGGTTTCAGCTGGAACGACACCCTTTAAAGTGTAATACGGTTATGAACCTCCTTCCATTCTGCCGTATGAGCCGGGGTACTTCGTCGGTTGCCAAGGTAGAGACAGTTACAAGCAAGGGGCAGTACTATCAAACTCCTCAAATTCCACTTGCAACAGGCCCAGCAACGAATGAAGTTAACCTATGATAAGAAGCATCGAGAATTAGAGTTCTCAGTAGGGGATTGGTTTATCTACGGCTCCAACCATATAGACAGACCTCCTTGGTGAGGAGGGCATCCCAGAAGCTATCTCCTAGGTACTTCGGCCCATTTCAGGTGGCAGAGCGAATTGGGCTTGTGGCCTACCGTCTCCACTTGCCTGCCGGGTGCCAGTTGCACCCCGTCTTCCATGTCAGCCTTCTGAAGCCATGCCTGGCTTCCACTGATGTTATCAGCCCCACCCTTCCACAATTCACAGAGGAAGGGAAAGTGATGTTTGAGCTACTACTGATCAGAGATCTATGTTGGGTTCGCTGGGGCAGTAAGGTCTTTAAACAGGCCCTAGTCATATGGCGTGGCTTACCTCGGGAGGATGCCACGTGGGAAGACTATGACCAACTACAGAAGCAGTTCCCTTCCCTCGACCTTGAAGACAAGGTCATTCTTGAAGGAGACGGGAATGTTAGGCCCAGCGGAGGAGAAGATCCAAGTGGTGCAGGTCAGGCCCATCAGGCCCATGTGCCAGTCCAGAACAACCCAAGGATCACGTGAGTGACACCACCCATCACACTTGTATACAACCGACGTCCACGTTTTGAAAAGTAACCATGTACTAAGAACAGTGATCATGCACTGAGATATGTCAGAATCAGCTATAGTTGTTAGCTGGCCATTTGCTATATAGTTGTTAGCTGGCCATTTGCTATATAGTTGTTAGCTGGCCATTTACGAATGCATGAAGGCAAGAATGAACCATTGAGAGCTTATCAGTCTATATGTTCGGGACAACCTAGATTGCCCATGGCCATAAAGCTGCATTATTCAAAGCAAGAATTCTGTAGATTATTAGAAATTCTCTTAAACAAAGAATTAGTTCTGTTATGGATGCTGAGGCTATATTGTTGTCCAGACATCAAAATAATAGACTGTTAGACCGTTTTTTTTCGGTTTTTCCTCGGTAAACTAAAGAGGCTGTGTTTTTAAAGGACAGTTATTAAGTTTCCTTCAACTTTCTGTTTCTCTCTTACTTTCTGTTTCTCTCTTATTTTTTATCAAACCAAACATAGCCATTGGATACAGCCAAAATTTTTTTTACTTGGAATATTAACTGTAATAAGGAGATTTTTCAACATTGATGGTGAAAATCTATGTATATTCTGAATACCCAAGAAGGCACCTGGTTGAACTGTCTTGATGGCTAAAAGTGTTCGTTAATCCAATGGTTCCTCTAATACTTGAACATTGTCAAGTAATTCCAAAAGGATGCATTAATATTATGATGCTGGATTTGCTAATTATTACAATTTTATCACAGAAGTGATAAGAATTTCACTTGTCTTTGGAAATTTTGTAGAAACTGCATTTGGCAGGAAAAGCATTCTCTGTCTCAATACATCTGGTTTGCACCTTGCAGGCAAATCTACAAGCAGTTAACTTATCTGCAAGTGCTTACTATGTTCCTGAATTTACACCTATGCGGTATCTAAATTATGGTGCTGCTGTTAGTGAGGTGAGTACATCAATATATTTGTTTTACATTTTTTATTTGTATAAAACAACATTAGTGTATTTTTGAAATTTTTGGGAAAAGAGACCAAGTCTGACTCATATGCTTTAACCTTGAAACTTAGATCCCTATTCCAAACAAACATAGGTGCTGCTCTCACCGTCAATGAGCAGAAGATTCATGAAGGCCCTTCATACCTGCATTAAACATGCTTCAAAACTCTAGTCATGCATTAAAACAGCCCCACTACTCCCTATCACTCACCCCCTTGTGTGAAATCTCTCATGCAACCTATTGTTTGGAGGAGAAGTGAATGAACACCTCCCTAACCACTCCTCACTCTCATAACCTTCCTTTATGAAACAAAAGCTGAGGCAAGTCTAAGTCTTTATTTCTCTACCTTGCATGCATATATACACCTGTACCCTCATCAACTAACAAAATTGTCTACCCCCACCCCCACCCCCCAAACGAATTTTTAATTAATTGGACTAGCCACTCTATACAAGTAGGAATTGGAAAGTAATATAAGTATCCCTTCAATATAATATTGCCAATATCGTTATAATCAAAACAAATAGATATAGTACAATAATGAGTACATAGAAGACAGGCATTTCAGAAATACAAGAGAAAACAACCCCAAGAAGAAGCCCTGGAACACTTCCTGAAGCAAGACAATCAATCGGAAGACCACATAAGGACCAACCATAGCTGCCCAACTGTCCAGAATAGTCCAGTATCCCTTTCTACAAAAATCGATCTCCAATAAAGCCTTAAATAAATCTTCCCAGGTTGAAGAAAGAAGGTCAAGCCCTTTTTCCTCATGATTCTTCCTGTTCTCTAGGTAGATCTTCACTATCTCATTGTGGGTAATAGGAAACCCCAAAGAACTCCAAGAATCAGGCCAAGAAGTTGTAGTCGATCATCCCTACTATACTCTCATGCAGCCTCTGATCCTAGGGCTGCATGAGAACTCTCTCAAAAGAGTTTAAAGCAGTTCTTATACCAAGTAGTCAAAGTATAACTTGATAAGAAACAGAAAACAGCAACAAAACCAAGCAGAAAAGCCTGTAGAAAGAAGAGAGAAAATGAAAGGGAGGCCAAAACAACCATTCTGCTGCCCATACCTCTTCATTTTATACTTGTTTGCGAATACAATCAATTGACAACAAACCCCTGCCAACCTAACTTAAGTGTGGTCCCAACAACTTAAATAAAACTATGCTAATAACTTAGGCCCAATAACAAACAGTACAAATAAATAACAAGTAATTAAAACCTAAGAACTAAAGGCCCATTGGGTTCATTAGACCTATCAGCTCTACAAACAGCCCATAAGCTCGACACCTTCCAATTGAGCTTACTTACATGATGCACAGATATGGACACGAACATGGACATAAAGGTACAACTCTCCATTTACTTAAATCCTTGAAATGGATATGCATATGGGTGTCCCATGTATATCATGCTTATTTATCTAGTTTTAAAAGCAAAATGTAATTTCTCACGACTAATGTCTTTCAAAATTTAATTAAATTTCTTATTATGTACAGATTTGTTTATAATATAATTTGTTGAAACATGCCATTTGACATATTTTACGAGTGTTAACTCTGTAAAACACATCTATAAGTGTGCAATATCCAGTGCCATATCTAATAAGTATGATGTTCAGCATTGGTATGCAAATCATGTATAGGTATCTAGGTATCATAGGTCCACTTCCCAATCATTAGAACTTCTTTTTTATGGATTATGGGACTGAGCCTAATACTCCATAGTTAATTCTGATATATAATGACAATATGTATACAATTTAACCTAATTTCTGTACTGAAAGGTCATGTAGTAGATTTGCTAGGTACCATAAAAAACACTTGTCTACTACTCTTCTTAAATTTCAATAAACAGCCAACAAATGAAGCTGTTTGAATCACAGGTGGAGATAGATCTTCTCACTGGAGCAACTTCAATTTTGCAAACGGATATTATTTATGACTGCGGACAGAGCTTGAACCCTGCTGTTGATTTGGGACAGGTTTGTTCAACTGCAATGCTATTTGAAGTTGTACCCCATTCTTAAGTTCCTATCCTTCTGTTACTCACATTCTCAATACTTGGAAGTTTATTTTGTTTTTCTCATTCATTTGGTCCATAACATGCATGTTAGTAACAATTTGACAATCACACTTCTGTAGCTAAAACGCATAGGGGCTGCCACTGACAGCTAATCATTGTTATCATATTGATACCACCAGGAATCTTTCTATGTGAAATTGATCTGGCTGGATGATTCTAACCATTCTGTATCATATCTCATCCTGTTATTAGCCAGAACAATTGGTAAATGTGAAAAATCTGTAGAATGATTATGATATTCAGTCAGGTCCTTTTGTTCTAGGACTGTCAGGTGGAAGATTTGAATGGGTTGTCTGGGCTACCACAGAACTATGTAAGTGGGCCTCACATTTGAAAATTTCTTTGCACAGATTGAAGGTGCTTTTGTACAAGGAATTGGTTTCTTCATGCTGGAAGAGTACCTCAGCAACTCAGATGGGTTGGTTATATCAGAGGGTACATTCACTTACAAGATCCCAACCATTGACACAATACCAAAGCAGTTTAATGTTGAGATCCTGAACAGTGGACATCACCAAAAACGTGTTCTCTCCTCCAAAGGTAAATTCTGATTTACAGAGCAATTATAGAAAGACTTCCTTAACCAGCTATTTAAGTACTTAAAATACCTTCAAGCTACCATTATTTTGTTTTTGATGGGCAATTCAATTTACCATCATTTCAATTATAGAAAAGAACATAATTCTTTTGGAAAACTATCCTATATGAAACTTTTAGAAATAAAATATTTAAGTCTCCCACTGACCAAAAAAAAAATATTTAAGTCTCCCCCCCCCCCCCAACCTTTTGGTACAAAATGTGGGAAAAAAAGAGTAAAGCCAGGGAGTAGCCCTTCCCCTACTTTCATCTAAGTGAAAGATCACCCTCAATTTTTTTAAGTAGAATGCTCTTTTTGGATAGCCAATCATCAACTGTTGCCTTCCCTCCAAGAATGATAAAATTACATAAGGGCTGTCTCCCAGCCCCCAAATCATATTTTATTAACTCTAATTACAATGAATGATAAAATTACATGAATGCACTTAATAGGGTTGCAGCAAGAAAACTAAGAACTAGTGGCCAGCCCAACATATCAATAGTCATTATACTTGCCAGGTTTGGAACTACTTTTCATTATTTGGGAAATCTTGGATTGCCCCTCAAAATGTAATGTAGCTGTTCTCACAAGACTTGTAGGGTGCAACACTAAGAGAAAGAAGTTACCATGGCATCATATAAGGGCTGCAATATTATTGAGCATTTGGGGGGAAAGAAATGCAAAGTATTTGATAATAAGAAGGTAGAGATGAAGCTTTGATTGAATTAATCAAGGTAAGAGTGGTTTATTGGGGTATTAATTTGTGAAGAATTTAAAGGTATTAACATGAATGATCTCTTGAGAGGGTGGAAAACTCTGGTTGATTGTGAAATAGGAAGACCACAGAAAGTGGTTGAATGGCACCCACCAAAGATAGCAGTCTCAAGTTCAACTTCAGTGGCTGCTATCTTGGCAATACAGGAGAATCGGGGCTAGGTTGAGTTGTAAGGATGAAGATGGTGTTATCAAATTAAGTTTCTGTGGAGCAATTGATGTTGGCAATTCATTAAGGGCCAAATTGTCGGCGGTGATATAATGACTCAAACTTCTGTCACTACAGAATGGATAGGGATGATTGTTGAAGGTGGTTGCAAAGTGGTTATCTCATGGCTCAATTCCAAGGAAGAACCATCATGGAATTTCAGGGCCTTGGTCAGTGAAGCAAAAAATTTGGGAAGAAACCTGAACAGCTCATTTATATGGGTCCTCAGATTGGCTAATTCCCTTGCTGATAATCTAGCCAGTGCTGGTGTCAATTGTCAAGGGTGTATTTGAGGAATGCCTGGGCTAGGGTGGTTCCATTTGTAATCTGCCTCTTGTATTAGTATATGCGTGATCATTTCTTAGCTGTTGTTCTGATCTCCTTACTGTCTTGTTTGAACAGTTTGGTTATACTCTTCTTCTATTAATATAATTATGTCCTTTATCAAAAAGAATAAAAAAAAAAATAACAGCAAAGAGACCACTGGATACAGTGGTATGGGCAAGGTCCAGGTAGACCCACACCAGGACCCTAATAAATCCATCCTAAGTATGTCTTTTATGGTCTTGGTCTGTGTATGAAACAGGTGGTTATAGAGCTGTCCTGCAAATAATTAGCATTTGATTGGGTATCTAGAAGTTGATGGTATCTCATAAAAAAATACACAAATCTAATCTTTCTTGCATTCTTGCAGTAGCGAAAGCATGTTGATATGCATTATCCTCTCTTATAAATTTAAAGATTCATATGCTCATATTTTTAACTGCTACCCACTAACTGGGTCCAAACTTGAACCTGATTCTTAAACGGGCCTTCAGTCCATGGACCAGGTTTGAAGCTTTGGGCCTAGCCCCTACAAAATTTGACTGGGTATGTCCACTATCTTGCTAATTGAATGCCCATTGCAACCATTCATACTGCCCAACCTTTAATTGGGCCAATTGGATCATGCAAATGGGTTGGATACCCTGCATCATGGCTAAGGGTTCTATGAACTTGGTAAACTGGGAGTATTGGTTTTCTTAGGATACAGTAATAGTTATTTCATCAAAAATAAATAAAAAAAAATCCTAGTGGAATATGCACAATTACATATTTTATCAGGTTAAGCAACATGACTGATAATAACCAATGGTTATTTGACTCTTGTGCAGCTTCCGGGGAGCCACCATTACTTTTAGCAGTATCTGTTCACTGTGCAACAAGAGCAGCCATTGGAGAAGCCAGGAAGGAGCTTCTTAAATGGTGCAGCTCAGATGAATCTTATTCAGCCTTTCAGTTGGAAGTCCCTGCAACCATGCCTGTTGTTAAGGAGCTATGTGGGCTTGACAATGTGGAGAGATACTTGCAGAGCCTGCTTTCTCATAAATGAATTAGAAGCTCATGGTCATGATGTTTTGCGCATTATATAGACACACGCACATACTGTGTTTTGCTAATAAACATAAAAAAAAAAAAGCATATTGTGTTTTGCTAATGGCATATGATTGAATGACTAGTGAATTTATTTTGATGTGCAATTTTCATGAGTTTTATTTTGATCAAGTAAGCATCTCTTCAGGGGAAAATTATGTAGTGAATATTGAATGTTACATGGAAATGAATGCATATTTGTGACGGATTTGATGCATAAATGGTTGATTTCACATGAATGTATTGAATCTTCTCCAAATAACTCTGTATGCTCATTAGTTCTATATTAGACAAACAGGAGAATATAACATTTTCAAAAGAAGAAGAAAGGAAGAAAGTAAGGTATGCTATCAAGTTTTAAAGAGTTACATCATTAGCATCTTGCAAAGAAGAAGAAAGGAAGGCGTACTGCTCAAGCTTCAAAGGTTCTTCAGTTCAAGCAACCAAGATCAAGTACGAGTACTGCCCATGTGCTGATATGTCAAAGCATGTTGAACAAGTAGTCACTTAGCTGTGGCTTAAGTGTTAAACCTGACCATTTAGGGTCTTTCTCATTATTAGCTCATATGCATTGATGAAGGGCTTGAAGGAGTGTTTTCCCCCATAGATTGGACCTTAGGAGATTTACCCAAGTTCCCCTAGACTTTGGTACTTACTGTGGTTAAGTTTTAGCTTTTTTTTTTTTTGATAGGTAAAATAAAATTTCACTGAAACAAAAAAGAATACAATCTATTAGGTGATAAGGAATCACCCGCTTACAACAACAATTAAAATAAATTAGAAATCAAAATAAGTTCTTCAAATTACACATTTGAATATTGATCAAAAAAATTACACATTTGAAAAACCTAAAACCTCCCCTAACTTTTCCCCCAGGTCCTCTTTATCAATTTGTCTGAATTCTGGGAGTACCATAACCCAATCTGCCACAGATCTGCTGACAGAAGCTACAATCCTATCCAAACTGCAAGTTTTGTCTTCAAAAATTCTTCTATTCCTCTCCTTCCATACGTTTCAACATATAGCCAATGGAATGCATTTCCATATCACCTTCATCTTCTTCTCTCAACTTAGGCCATGAAGAGAAGATTTCTGCAGCTGAATTTGGATGAAAATCAGAGACCTCAAACATAGCAGTGAACATTCTCCACGTGAAACCAGCAATCTTGCAGGAGAAAAATAAATGACTGACATTCTCCACTTGTTCTTTGCATTAACAGCACCTGTTAGCCATATTGAAGACTCTTGATTTCAGGTGATCCACAGTCAAGATGCTATCCACTGCCACCAGCCACACCAAAGTTTCAACTCTTGGGGGCACCGGATTTCTCCACAAACCATCAAGTTGATTTGAGTCTGAACTCGTCCGGCTGAAAGCATATAATATGATTTAACAGAGAATTTTCCATTTGTACACACTTCTCACCATAGTTCACCCCTCAGCTGAGATGAAATTTCCACCATAGTTCATCCCTCGGTCTGTGAATCAATCTTTGCCAAAAAGAATAATGAGCATTAAAGTTTTAAGCATCAAGAGACAACTCTTCCGCATTTGGAATAGTGATAGAATTGGCCTTGGCTCATGAGACGACCCATGGTAATATGGGGATATCCCCCCAGGATTTGAACTTTGAAATGTAATATTTTGGGTTTAAAGGGACAACCTCTAAGGGATGAGTAATCAACCCTTGAGTTTGAATGTTGAGACAAAATTTTGGGTGATTAAGGGGTGGTCCTGACTTATAAAGAGACATCCCCTATGTGTTACTCTATTTGAATTTTCTATCCGTTGAGCCCGCATTAAATGCCCAAATTTAAAATGGTAAAATGAGCATTAAGTGTTCAAACTTTGAGCAATGGTAAACTTATGGGGACTGAGTATTTAAGCCCAATTGAATCAATTTGAAAGTGATTTTCTAAGAGGATCAGAAATTTTAGAACTTGAAAGATTAAAATCTTTAAGAAAATGAAAGTGGGGGAAAAACAGAAAGACCAAGTCATACTCATCAAAAAAAAAACAGAAAGACCAAATCAGAGAGCTTTAAGTAAATTTGTAGAATCTGTTGAAGCTCCATCTAGCCCGAGTTGAATAGTTTGTGCTTGCATTGTTCTATCTGATCAAAGAGGGTTATATTGTTGAACTTACACTGTAATATCTCAAGAACTCTGTCTATGAAAGCAAGTGTGATCTCGTGTAGCAGACACTTTGTCAATCTGCAAAGTATGGTGTAACCAAGCATCATAAGAACTGGTTGTGTATGTGTGACTAGCACCCGTGAACACTGGTTGGAAATGATGTGCCAAGAACCCGTGAACACTGATCAAAAACAGTGTAATTACACCTGTTAAAACTGGTTTGTTGTACTATTCAATGGAATAGTGGATTGAAATTCTCAAGGGGGTTTCCTTGAGGAGCATATATAGGCTAGGAGAGCCGAACCACTATATATCCAGGTACCCTCTTCTCCTTGTCTCTTATGCTTACTACATTTATTATTCCACTGCATTTAATTATTTAATTGACAAGCTATTAAATTGAAATATTTATCACTCACCCTTCATATACACATTCACCCTACTAAAACAGAATTGTCATATTACATCTCGGACAATCATTGCATGTTTAACCAGTAATAGAAGTTAGTTGACATCTCTGGAAAGCAAGATACCCATTTGGATTCTAATCTTATCCTTTCATCTGTTTTTCATTTACCTAATTTGATTACCAACTCAAACACAGAGAGGGATGATCAGAGATCTTGAAGTTGATTGTCTCTACCTTCTAGATTCCACTTTTCACCCATCTACTTTGCAGCCCACTAGTCAGTGTCCTAATAAATCTAGAATCTACTTGTGGCATTCTAGAATGGGTCATCTTAATTTTCAGTCCTCGAGAGTTCTTTTTTCTTAAGTTGCTTAAGCTTGTGTCTATGTTTAGTCTTTAGTGTGAAGTTTGTGAATATTCCAAGCATTGTAGAACAATTTTTTATACTAGTAATAAAAGAAGTTTGGTTTCTTTTAATATTATTCATATTGACATGTGTGGACCTCTTCCTGTTATTGCTATGGGTGGAATTCAATATCTTATTACTTTTGTGGATGACTGCACTAGATGTACCTAGCAGTATGTGATTAAATCTAGATATGAGATTTTTGGGATTGTAAAGAATTTTCGCCACATGATCCTTACTCAATTTGAGAAGTCCATCAAAATCCTTAGATCAGACAATGGCAAAGAATATTTTGAAAAAGATATAAATGCATTAACCAGAAAAGGTGTCACCCATCAAAGTTCATGTAACTAAACGCCTCAACAAAAATAGAGTGGCTGAAAGGAAAAACAAACATTTGTGTGAAGTTACTTGTGTATTATTGTACCACATGAATATTCCTTGTCACTTTTGGGATGAAATCATGCTTATCTTATAAATAGAATGCCATCCCATAGCCTTAACTCCAGTCTCCTTTTTCTCTTCTCTTTCCTAGTCAATCCCTTTTTTCATTACCTCCTTGAGTCTTTGGCTATGTTTGTTTCATTCATGTCTTGGGTCTACACAGGTCTAAACTTGATCCCAAAGTTATCAAGTGTTTTCTTGGGGTATTCTTCTACTCATAAGGGACACAAATGTTATGATCTAACCTATGACATGTCACAACACCATGATATTACCTTTTTTGAAGATACTCCTTTATTTCCCCCATTCTCTCTTTAAGGGAAGAATACAAGTATAGAAGAGATACTTCTTCCTCTTATGGTCACCATTCTCCTTCCTACTGCTACTTTGCAAGAATTCTAAAGGCAGATGGATAGGAAGAAAGATATGGTTGCCATAGGTAAGAGCCCACCAAAATCATCTCACTAGAATTGCCTCAAATGGATCTACATTCAGGTAACTCCTTACCCATTGTTCCCATTGCTAATTCCTCTCCTATCCTTGTTAACTCTTCTACTCTAATGACCTTGATTTGCCTATTGCTTAGAAAAAAAAAGGAATTAGGAAATCTACTTTACATCCTATGTCTAAGAAAATTTCCTACTCCCACTTGTCCTCATCCTCAAAATGTTAGAATATCCACAAACACAAGCATAGGACTATTTTTACAGACTGGCACCCAACATACAAAACACGGCTAATCAAGTAAACCAGACCGTAGTGGGAGTAAAGAAAACATGCAGTTGAACTGGACCTATTGAGAAGATACAACAAGAACTTGAATCAGGTTACATCAAACTGGAGGATAGGATGGCATTTCTAAGGCTATTAATGACCCAAGTTTCTAATACAAGTAGTAATTCTCACTAGCAAGTCAAACCATGTACATGAGTCCTTGGGTTTAGCAACCATGAAACAGTATTTCCCATGTCTGGGTGACTAAGGTATGGTACTTTGCATGGTTCAAGTTTCAACAACTATGAAGTTATCTTCCCATGCTTCGTTTTGAAAATGGAGTCCAGAATCTTATGTTACTGCTCTGTTTATACACAAAACATGGTGATCAAGGGGAGGTGTCCAGACAAATCCAGGAATCAGGCTACATGAGCATGTGTTGTTTCCAGATTTGCTTGATACACTGTTCGATCTTTAACAAGTCAAAACCCTACAATTAGGATCTTAGCAGGGTTCATTAATTAATTTCTAAGTGCATGGATTCTATATGATGTAAACACAGATATCATCTCAATAGTATTCAATAGGTTTCAGACTGAAAACCTGTCTATACAACTTTCACAATGATGAAAACAAAGCAAACCCTGTGAATAAAGTCGTATGAACCTAATTAGTGCTACGTGGGTGAGCCACGTTTTCAATCGTTATAAATCAATCTACCATAATCTGTTATCGTATTTTAAATAAGTGGATTAAACTCTTAGGTTAGTGGTTCACAAACTAGAACTGAAAAGGTGTTCGACTTATTTTCAATCCATTAGTCGTTCATCAATCTCAAAACTCTCTGGAC